CTATAGACAGGGAAAAAGAGAAACACAAGAAAGGTCGAATGAACCCATTCTCACGACTTCGTTGGCCTAGGCTCTTTGGAGCCTTCGGCGTGCTCTTCGCGCTTGGGGCTCGTGGCCGAACTTGACGACATTTCGGTGGCGTCGCTGCGTCCGATCGCCTATTCAGAAACATAACGGCATGTTTCAAAGCTTAGTTGAACGATAATGATTTTGCTGCTCTGCCGTCTTTGCACAAGGTCGATGCCATTTCTGAAAATGGGGAACTATCGACCTAAGAGCTGCCAGATGCTGCCAGTACGATGGCCCTTGCCCCCCACCCTAAAGCCCAGCTCCTCTTCCTTGGTGGTGTTCGCGGTGTGTACGCTTCGGAGGTTGTCCTGTGCTGATTGCATGCACCTGGCTACCCAGTCTTTTATCTCGCCCCGCTCCTCTTCGGTGGTGGCGTTCGTGATGTGCGCGCCTCGCAGGCAGCGAAGCCAGCCTGCAGTTGCCTGCCGAGTGCCTTCCGGGCCAGCCACTCTCAAGCGTCATTGATTGTGCGACTAAACGTTATTGCCGTCCCAAAGGCCTGCGCACGAAGGCTTCGTCTGAGCTCTTTGATGACTCCATCTGGCCCCCCAAGCTGCTCTTTCAGCTGACCCGAGCTCACAAGTCTTTTCATTCCTGTCCACTTCGCAAGGCGAAAGAAGGTCTCAGATTACACGCAATCCCAACATGGCGTAAGCCTCACTATCTTCATGCAATTCATCCACGCCGAGAACAACCGAAACATCGAGTGTCCTTGATAATGCCGGAACCAGCCAGGCTGCCGCAGGGCAGCGACTATCGCCCGGTAATTCTCGGGGTGCACGGACGCCCCAACGAAGAGCGCTCCAGTGTTGTTGTCCGCGAGCACATTCCGAGCAAGCAGCTCGGGCGACCCGTTGAGGTATCTTTGCCTGCACACTTTACTCAGTAACACCTACCCGTCTTCCCACGGCCCGTGCCCCTTGGACCAATTTGCAGCCCAGAAGCCAAATGCTCGGCTGCCCCAACTCAGCACGCCACCTGCTGTCCACCCGACTCAGGGACAGTGTGTCGTCCGCCTTCAAAGCCTCGCGGGCGAAGAAAAGCTTGCACGTGCAAGATTCGGTTTGAGACATCTCAAACGGCCAAACATGAGAAGGGATATGAATTCATCCAAGTGTGGGCAGACGCGAAAGCATGACAAGACCCGGTCCTGTCAAAATGCCTCCGAAAATGATGTGGGAGAAGGAGGCGACTTGTGATTTTCACAACCGGAAGCTTGCTGTTGATGAGCCCACCCCTGCCAACACCAGTTCTACTGCCACTAGACTCCAGGCCTCTGCAATGCTGATCGCTGCCCAGCAGCAGCATTGCATTGCTGACTCTTTCGGCATCTGTTCATGAAGCAAAGCTCTATTCTTTGTACACGTCCACGTACACAATCACCATGGCTGACACTGGGTTCGGCGGATTTGTTCCATGGATGCCGCGTAAGAGACTGATGCCGCGTCAACGTGTGCACACGGCCTGGTTGCCCGAAGCAGTAGCCCCAGCTTGTTCTATGATCCTTCGGAGCTTGAATACCGCTGTCAGCGAGCACATCAAGAAAGGCATGGGTCCTATGCTCAGGGCCGTTGCCACGGCTCAGACCGGACACCTTACGCCTATGTCTGTTCACGCATGTCCACCCAGAAAGAACTGTCGGTCCATTTTTTTCCTGGGATGCACAAGCATCACTCGCCTTGAGCGATTAATTTGCACACAGCTCGGCATGTCTGCACCCCGACATGCTGAAACCGTTCACACCGCAATGCATGGCTCAGACTCGAGACTTGGGGTTCTCTTGAGAAAACGAGCACTTGCACTTCACTCTCGGCTCTTGGCTAGGATCAAACTCGAACGGGACGCATTCACTTCGAATGCTTTGCTTGCAAACCACATGTGGCACTAGGAAACACAGCAAGTCTCGTGACGAGCTTAGAGTGAGGCAGGCGTGGACCGTCCGAAGCCACACTCGTCGAGGCGCATTTGCTGCCGTTGGCTCTGCAGCTTCTGCAGTGATAGCTCCAAGGATCGCCGCCTCTTCTTTGACGTTGTCCCCTGAAGCTCTCTGCTGATACCAGCGCTGCGCAGCCTTTGCCTGAGTTGCCGTAGCACTCCACTGTTCAGACCCCTCGGCCGACTCAGACGACCTTCGGTTGCCAACCGCTTCATTCCTGCAGGAAGAACATCATCGAAAACACCTACAGGACCTACAGGCTTCCAACAGAACAAACAATAACAACCTCACCTCTCCTTGATAGTGTCGAAACCAGCACGGCTGCCGCAGGGCAGCGACTATCGCCCGGTAGTTCTCCGGGTGCACAGACGCCCCAACGAAGAGCGCTCCAGTGTTGTTGTCCGCGAGCACATTCCGAGCAAGCAGCTCGGGCGACCCGTTGAGGTATCTTTGCCTGCACACTTTACTCAGTAACACCTACCCGTCTTCCCACGGCCCGTGCCCCTTGCACCAATTTGCAGCCCAGAAGCCAAATGCTCGGCTGCCCCAACTCAGCACGCCACCGGCTGTCCACCCGACTCAGGGACAGTGTGTCGTCCGCCGTCAGAGCCTCGTGAGCTGTTTCTTCGAGAGTTGGCACTAGCCTGGTGCACCGCACAGATTCAATCCCGACAGCACATAAGAGAAGCAAACAAACAGTAGGTCGCCAAAAGTCAGTGGAATGCCCATATTATGCCCTTGCAAACAACACGAACGATAGCGCACCCTGCCATACCACCGAGTATCACCTGGTACTCTATCTGCGCTTCCTTAAGCAGCCAGCGCGCCTCTGCAATCATGGATGCTGCCCACCATGGCGGCGGCGCCGACATTCAGAAGACATATATGTCGGGAAGCAGTTGTGCTGAAAGTGACTTTCCTGCGAAGCCTCTTCTTTAATTTAAGAAGACTCATTGGATTTGCATATCACTCGGCCCGTGAATCCCTTCATTCTTGTGGAGAATACAAGCTGCTCGACAGACGAGCGTCCATAGTCCACATCTTCAGCCCCGATAGCATCTCAGTCTGGAGCCAAGCTCTCGACGCGATTTCGCAGACCGCTGCAGCAGTCCGTCCACTGCCGGCTACGAGAACCAGGTGTATGCCCAGTTTCCCTTTAGCGGCTCATGCCCCAGCTTAGCACCGTTCAATGGACTATCATGGACTGGTTGCAAAGCGCCTCCTGAGGCTCCGCCTGAGGCTCCTGGGCGGCGGCGTCTGAGGTGCCTCCAGGAGGCTCTGGAGGTGGAGGCGCTTCGTGCAACTGGAGCGGCAGTGTCTGTAGTGCGGGAGCACCTTTCGCACGCGGGACGAGAGCTTGTCCCAGGCTACAACTGCATGTTGCAGGAGTTCATCCTTCCGATCTTCTGAGAACCTCACCTGGAGCCGGGATGCCCTGCACGGAGGCAAACGCCTGAGCCAAAGCCCATATGTCGGCGCTGCTGGGCCCAGTTTGCACCTGAACGGAGGCGCACATGAATCTAGTACAACTTGGTGGTCTGCAGCTGACAAGCTTGGGTCTTCACTGCCTGGTCTGCCTGTGGCCCCGCCATGACCTGGGAACAGGGGTGACAAGTTGACTTTGAATATCCTCACATGGACCTGCACAGATCACTCTGCGAAAGGCCCGGGCAGGAGCTGGTACGAGAGCGGGGACCGGGATGATGCCCTCGCGCGACACCTCCAGGCTCAATGCCGAAACGTCCGTACTGGTGTTGGTGAGATCTCTGGTTTTCCCAGGCATGTGGGCGAAAAACTTAATAGGATGTCAACGAGTGGCACAAGCGAAGTGTGGCATGCGGCATCAGCCTCTTTTTGGTGCCTACTGCATCAATGCATTTGATCAATGCCCAAGAATTAAAGCAGGCAGAGGCGAACATGAGCAACACTCGATAAATGCTTGCCAGATTCTGGACCCAAGGCGTCACAACCGTGTAACTGAAGACAAGCAGCCATGCACGCTTCTTCCATCCTACCTTTCCACCAGTACCTAATCGGCTGGCGCCGACAGCTGGACTGGATCATAATAATAATATTACAACCATATTTCAAATTTCCTACATAAACTACACGGATTCAATCAACCGTGTTGCTTCCCAGGGTGTTGGTAATGGCAGCGCTTGAGAACAATGGGCGATCCCAAACTTCAGAGCGACAACGCGCAGAACCGCTAGCGGATTTTGATCACAGCATGATCACGACTGATCTGGCTTGCGAATTCTGTACATCAGGGGACAGGAGGGAGGAAAAATATCGATCCGAACCCCGAAACTGAATAATAAAGGATCCCAGATGCAGGGAATCCCAAGCTAACTGTACTAAGTCATGTGGAGGCGGATGGCTTCGCGGCCTGGGGTGGATGCTCGGCAACCGGCCTCATCTCTTCGTCCTGCCACACAGACATACCATTCGACCCTCTACAATGGGTTCCTACTACTAGCTAAACGGAAGGCCTAAGAAACCGAAGCATGAAACCAAATGAAGGCATGGGAGCAGCTTAATTTGTGTGAGACAAATCCAGGCGCATACAACAAAACTACTCTGGTTGTAGAGAGTCTAGATATTTTGCATAGTTAGCCTGCTCTGCGTTCGTTCGATTTCTGGAAAATCTACTGTCAATTGAGTGCTATTTATTTACCTATGTCTCCACGCCCATGTTATGTTCACTTTGCTCGTTGAACTGTATTGCCGCATTGTTTCATTGTGTCCGAGCCTCCGAGCTAACATGGCTTTATCAGGCTATTGAACCTGCAGGACAAGGCTGATTCAGTCCGCTGGCGGAAGACCCGCCTGAGGTGGGAGCTGGGCCATGGGAAGCGCATCTGCGGCCGGCTCGGTGGGCTCCGGTGGGAGCTTCGCTTCCTCAACACCTGGCGGGCGTGTGGGCGACAGACCGCCCAGCCGACACAGCACTGAGCCGCAGAGCGCTGTGCTTTTTCGATGGCCAGCGCAGCTGTCAATCCACGTCTCCACCGACATCCTTTGGTCCAGACATCAGTTTGCCTGGGCGAGAGCTCTGCAGAGATGGACATGGTGAACCAACCCCTGGAGAAAAAAACGCAGGCTTTGTCGAATCTTGATCTGACCACCTTGACTCAGACAGGTGACTCATGAGCTGTTGCATCACCGTCCTGTTCGGCCATCAGAACTCGGCACGAACGGCGATAACATGCAAGGATCACAACATCCGAGGGACTGCTGACGCTTCAGGATGCCCACAAAGTCGGGATTTCGGATGAGCTCCTCCTCCAGCGAATAGGTCAATAGGTGCGGCGTGCCAGCAGTTGGTAGCATGGTCTCAGCAGACATTGCAATCCTGCTTCATGACGGCAGCGGTTTCGACCTCATCGGCGGCCACCCCGTGAGCCTTCTCCACTTTAGCGTGCACCAGGGCCTGCAGCAGGGCTTGTGAAACATGCAGCGTTCGGCTGAAGCTGAGGCCCGCCTTCAGGGCGACGGTGGCCGCCTTGAAATCCTGGAACTGCTATGTCTCAGTCGGACAGCTAAACACAGAAACTCTCAAGTCCTTGGATTCCGCGTTTGGCTCGCTCAGGAAGCTTGCAACTAGCTTCTCCAGCTCCACGAGCGCAAACTCCTGGAATCACGCAACGTGCCCAAGACGCCGCTTTCACTGGCTTTCAGCCGCCTTCATCGCGAGAATCTTCGCGACATCCAGGTCCACACCGCCAGGCTTCATGTCGGCGGGGTGCTGTCCGGATAGCCGCACCATGGACTCCATCACCCAGGGGTCGTTCTGCTGCTCCGCCACCTGCTACCAGAACCAGGTTTATCTGCCTCACATGGGCTTTTAGCTCCAAATTCGAAGCGTGCGATATTTACTCCATCTCTCGTGGACTCTCTAGCTCTTCTCTGCTGCCAAGGTGCCATCGCTTCAAACTCTTGGATACTAAGCCCTTGCTTCTCCAGCGGGTCGACTAGATCGCAGGCTTCCACGCGCCGGTACGCTTCATCTATGGAGACTTCCTGTCGGCAAACACTGCTCGGGATTCTACCTGTTCCGGCTATATAATGTAAAACAAGATAAGATAAGGTAAGATAAGATAAGATAAGATAAGATAAGATAAGATAAGATAAGATAAGATAAGATGATAAGATAAGATAAGATAAGATAAGATAAGATAAGATAAGATAAGATAATATAATATGATATAATATATAATAATATACAATATGTATAACATACACTATATAATATATAGTATATAATATACAATATATAGTATATAATATATTATATAATATAAATAATATACAATATATTATATAATATACAATATATAATATAAAATACATAATATATAATATTTAATATATATATATATATAATAAAATAAACTATATTTAATATATAATATTTAATATATACTACATTTATATATAATATATGATATATAAATATAATATATAATATATAATA